TTAATAAAATAAAAAAAAAAATATGTAAAAATAGCTCAAATGGTCATCTACAGTAACTTCAGCTAATACAACCAGAAAAGTAATTACAACCTTACTTTTTCTGCTTTTTACACAATTCAGCGGGCGAAAGCAAAAGTTACACGTTTGGTGTAAAAGTTGGCTAATAAGCCTAATAAACCGAAAAAGAGTGTTTCCAAACGGCCTCTTAATCTACGGATGTTTCACATTTTCGATTTGTTACATTTCCATTAAAGCCATTTTTTTAATATTTTTCTAAACCTATTATAGTATCTGCTCTTGTTAATGCCACCATCCTTGATTGGAATGAGACTCGAACCTGCAACCTCCTCTTTGTGAGATCAGCAGTGATGTCATCAGACCACGAGATACTTGGCCAAAGCCAATTGTTTTTCTTCTTGCTAGAATCCACACATATAATATTGGGCATTTACCAAATAGGTTTTAGTTTATTGTCCCACTTCGATTGCTGTATAGAACTAAAAAACTCAAGCACTATTTGCCATTTTCGATCATAAGCTCAAAAGTCCTCAAGAAATGCAACACATCATGGCAAAGGAAGCCTTTCGGATGGTTTGTGCCATGACAAATTAAACTTCTTCAAACCCTTGGACCGATTGAATCGGTTGAGGAACCCTAGAAGCCGAACATCGATCAGTTTTTTTTTACAGAATTCCACCGACCTACAATAATTTGTTTTTTTGTTATGCACGTGGCTTACACTGTCATAATCCTGGAGTTTATGAACTACCCTCCAACCACCATACGACCCCGCTATCTTCATTACCATCCTCTCCCTTCTCAGTCGTGGAGCGCGCTACTCTGTGAAGGTAAAGAGAATCATGGGGAGCAAAACCTCTTTCATTTTCCCTAGCTAGGTGGGAATTGAACGAAGACCACTCACAAAGGAGAGACTTGAGGGTGGATGTTCATCCATTGGACTACACTCAACTTCCCTGTCTCTTTTCTTCATTTTCATGACATCGTTAGTTCCATCGTTCATCGCACTCAATTTAAATGTGAAAACAAACAACAATAAATAGTGTTTATAAAACATGGGTTGCCTCCAGAGAAACACTTTATTTAATATCGTGATACGGCGTTATTTGTAATTAATTTTCAGCTTCAAGTAGAATCATGAAAATTCCTTAGTTTTTCAAAACCCTTGTGCGGCCCTGTTTTAGTTTTCTTCTTTAGTCTTTTCAAGTAAGAACGAACTTTCTCTTTTGTTACCATCTCAATCGCAAGCGAATTTACCATAATCGTCTTGTTTTGTAATTTCAAAATCTGTTCACTCCTATTTTGAGAATTTCCCCTAAAGTAATTGCTCTTAATAAGAAGTAGTTCAACTCAATTGCTCGCCTACTCACTCTCCTTCATGGGAGGTATGACTTTAAAACTTAATAGAGGTGGTTTTAACCCTATTTACCCCAACCTCAGCCCCTGCCCCTAAGGTAAAACAAAAGAGTAAAACATTCTCCTTTACCTCTAAACAAAATTTCAAGCTAAATCTTTCCCAAATAGAAGTAAACATTAGTTTTCTATCCTTAATACCCCTAATTTGATTAAATAAAGTACACATTCCATCCCAAATAAACTTCACACCTTTCTTTTTGGGTAAATCCAAAATAAACTTCACATTTCTATTTTTGATATAAATTTACCCTTATACTCTTGCTTATAATTATTTACCTACTTTACACCCATTTTTTCTCTGTCATCCATCTAATCTACTTTTTGTAGGGGATATGAAGGGAAAATCAAAAGCAAAAATTTCATTTTACTTAAAGTGTTAACTTTAATTGGGATCGAATGAAGTAATTAGTTGTCACCTAATTCTCTTGCATAACCGAGCCAGTCTGTTGGTGGCGGGGCCATCCAGCGGCAATGACGGTCAACAAAGCTCTGACGATCAGTAACGGATGCTTTTAGGGATATTCCAGCGGATCGGATTCCGACGGTATGCGGTAGCAACTTCGGTGGCTAGTCCAAATCTTGCAGCGGTATCCACTACAAAAAATTACGGGATTAACACAGATTTGGCACGAATTTATCGATAATTGCATGCCAAATAGCTCGTGTCGAACTGCTTTTGGCACAGATTTGACATATCACTGCCAAAATCTCTGACAATTTTAAGAAATCCCTGCCAAAAATCTTTGTTAATCTCGTGTGTTTTTTGGAGTGATCCTTGTCCAACCTTGAACGAATAGCTTTATTTGGAGAATCTCAGAGCATCTCCAATGCTACAATGTGCACAGTGCACATGTGGCATGAAAGATATAGACACAAAATATTGAATTTATGACATTTGTCTCTCCTTTCCACGGTCTTATGTGTTTTTGGTAAGTTTTTGTATGCAATGTCAACCATAATGTCTACATCTAGACATTGTGCTTGAAATTGTGAAGAAAAACTTACCAAAATGATGTAAGATCCTTCAAATAAGGGGAGAGATATTCTATTTATTGTTTTTAATTGGTTATATCTCATGCCACGTATGCACCGTTAATATTTTAGCATTGAAGATGCTCTTAAGAACCTACTTCTGTTTAATACGTTCTCTATATTTTACTCTTATTCGGAGAATTGTCTTTTTCTTACTACTTTAATATCTGTTTCTTGCTAGGTACTTATTTATGTGGAATCCGGTTGTAAAATTCTTTTGTTGTTATAAGGAGACGAGGAGTACATATGTAGTACTACGTACTATCTCCGTCTCATTTATATTGTCTCTTTACGATTTACGATTTTGACCGACGATAAAGCAAATAGATTCCTATCTGCACTCAAATTATTTTTAGGAAAAAAAATTACATATTCAGAAACTACATTTAAAGCTTTACAAAGTCGCAAAAACCTGAATCAAATTTGATAATTTTTTTATATATAAAGTACGAAATTAAGAGTGATTTGTGTTGACCAAGTAAATAGGAACTGAGACAATATAAATGGGACGGAGGGAGTATTAATTATAGTAGTTTCTATTAAGAAGATATTTCTAAATAATGATTAAATAAAATTCAGAGAATATTACTCGAAATAGGAGTAAAAAAGTTTAAAAATTCCAAAATATGACTGACATGTTTTTATTCCGAAAATAAGACTAATTACTGCCATGTTTTGACAATACCAGACTTCAAACATGGCAGTATTCTCCAAACTTGACAGTAATTGCTCATATTTTGGAAATAAAAACATGACAGTCCTATTTTGGAATTTTCAAACTTTTTTAGTCTTATTTCGGGAACTTTCCCTAAAATTTATGGTAAAAAATATGATTGCAGTTATCATAACTAAACATTATGATCAGTATTTAAGTGTAAAAATTAAACGTAAAAACAGTCATTACAAGTTATCATCTTCTTCCTACTAATTGAGGCATAAGGAGATGATGTAATTATTAAAAAAGTGACTTTATGTGATTAGTATTGAATTGAAAAATTAAGAGAAAGTTCCCTAAATAGGACTAAAACAGTTTGAAAATTCTAAAATAGGACTGTCATGTATTTTATTACCAAAATAGGAGTAATTACTGTCAACTTTGGAAAATACTGCCATGTTTGAAGTCTGGTACTGCCAAAACATTACAGTAATTAGTCCTATTTTAAAAATAAAAACATGACAGTCCTATTTTGGAATTTTCAAACTTTTTTAGTCCTATTTTTGGTAATAATGAAAGATTAAGAAACACACAATCTTTATCAAATTTGGTAGGGAGGTATGAGACATCTCTGTGGGACATAATGAAAAGGAAAGATCAGACAATATTAGCGGGACAAAAGAAATAGTCCATTAGACACTACACTTGATAAGTCATTTTTTACCAGAATAGTTTACTAAAAAATAGTTATTAAATGACCGAATTGATTAAATCTATAAAGTTATGAAAAAATCATAATGTTTTTTTTCTTAATAAATAAATAAAAATACATGAAAATAGCTCAAATAGTGATGTAGAGTACCTTCATTCAATTCAACTAAAATATTAACTCAAACTTTATTAATTTGATTATTACAAAATTCTAAAAAAGTTAATTAGTAGGTTGATAAGCAGAAATATGGTGTTACCAAACAGAGTCTAAGTGTGAAACCATATCATTCTTGTAGTCTCCATTTCTTTCATTTCAATCACCTTTCACTTTCATCATCCTCTTGTGTTATCTTTCATCTTATCCATTTCATCATCTTTGAAGATCCCAAATGAACTAGGGTGGACTGCTGGATCGGAGCCTTAGAAAATAAAATAAAAAATGTCACCAGAATTGTTTTGTGTGGTGTCAATAAAATATTTTCTGTGTGATCCTAATTTTTTGTTAAATTTGTTTGTGTGAAGAAATTAAACTGAAAAAGTAGTTTATTTCTGTGAAGTTAAGTCGCAAACAAAATGTCCCTATTGAAAAAAAATCGTATTTTAGTAACAAGAAATGTCTGGGCACATACAAACAAGATTTTCCATGCTAAATCACCGTAAACAAGATTTTGTCTTGCGACTAAGGGTGGAAGTAGGTCATCCGGCCTGTCAGGGGCATGCAGTCTGGCCTCTTTAAGGCCGGGCTTGGCTTGTTTAAAAATCATACTAGGCTTAGGCTTTTCAAAAAGCCTTTTGTCTAAATAGGTCAGGCTTAGCCCAAATCCGAGGCCTTTTTAGCTTAATAGGCCGACCTACTTTTATATATATATATATATATATATATATATATATTTAGTTAGTTATTTTTATATTCATTTGTATTCTTTATATTTATATTTATATTATATATATTAATTTAAGTATAGCAAGTTGGGCATAAAGTGTTTTTATGGAGTGTGTATTTTAAATAAGAATATTATTTTAAATATATAAAGTGTGTTAATTGGTTATTATGGTCATTGAATTCAAAGCTTTTCAAGATTTGAAATACATAAAAAAAATTAAGCTACATTAGTCACATATCATTAGACATTCAAAGCAAAACCAACGTATGATTACATGTTTTTAGTGATTATGCAGGGACTGAATTTTATATTAGCCTAACAGAATTTGTCACATTTAATTTTTAATTTTTTAAAACTTTTAATTTTTTCTTAACAGGCCTACTAAACAGGCTTCAGGCCAAGCCAGACTTTTAAACAAGTCAGGTTCAGACTGAAAAAACAGGCCTTAAACAGGTAACAGGCTAAGCTCAGACCTTGTTGGATCGATTCACCCCTTGTCGACAAACTTCCCAGTGGGTCACCCATCCTTGGGCTTTCTTACCCCGGGCTCGCTTAACTCCAGAGTTCTGTGGTTAAATAGCAGCCATATCTTTCTTAAAACCAATTGGTGATAAGGAAGTGGACACCCTCTATTTAACCCATTACTCTGTAGTCCCCAAGTCAAGGTAGATTCCTGTGGGGCACCCCCCACAGTTCACTACGGCAGTGCAGAACCCCACTACTGAGCGGTGGATGGACATGAGGGGCTGCACCACTTTGTGGTGCCAACAGGTTGGGCGGTTAAGCCCTGAATCAAAGGGTGGTGCTGATCTCCCATAAGACCAACAATCACCCCCCCAGCACCAGCCGGGAGATTCACCTGTGACCTCGCTCTGATACCACTTGTTGGATCGATTCACCCCTTGTCGACAAACTTCCCAGTGGGTCACCCATCCTTGGGCTTTCTTACCCCGGGCTCGCTTAACTCCAGAGTTCTGTGGTTAAATAGCAGCCATATCTTTCTTAAAACCAATTGGTGATAAGGAAGTGGACACCCTCTATTTAACCCATTACTCTGTAGTCCCCAAGTCAAGGTAGATTCCTGTGGGGCACCCCCCACAGTTCACTACGGCAGTGCAGAACCCCACTACTGAGCGGTGGATGGACATGAGGGGCTGCACCACTTTGTGGTGCCAACAGGTTGGGCGGTTAAGCCCTGAATCAAAGGGTGGTGCTGATCTCCCATAAGACCAACACCTATACTTTCTAAAATGGGCCCGGCCTGTTTAGGCAAAAACATGACCAGGTCTGGCCTGTTTCCACCCCTACTTGCGACAAAGTGCATTTGACTTGGTATTGCATCAGTGTATCTAGAAAAAGAAGTTATGCATTCACACAGCTGTACGCATTGCACTTTTTAGTACTCCTTATTATGACTGCACGATTCACCATGAAAGGAAATACTCCCTCCGTCCCGCAATTAAGTTCACACTTTGACTTCACACAGATTAAGAAAATAAATTTGACTTTACTGTGGAGTGCACTGTTTTGCACTGTTTAAACACTGTTTGACACTGTTTGGACATTGTTTGGCACTGTTTTGATGGATATAATTTGTCAAATAAGGAAAGTATTGAAGTGTGAAGTTAATTTCGGGACTGTCCAAAAAGGAAAGTGAGAAGTTGTTTACGGGCCGGAGGAAGTACTAAAATGTTGCACCATCCAAGTGTGATTTATGATATATGTTGTTCAAACAACATGGTCTTGACGCAATATATTTGGGGCGCATGCTGATAAGAAGACAAAGCTATAATGAAATAATTATGATGCATTTGGGAGAAAAAATCATATTGTAAAAAGTGCATATATAGACTTTTCAAAAATATAATATACTAGTGTACTCTTGTAGTACATAAAATGCACATGATTAATTACAGTGCATTTCATATTTTAAAAAGTGTCATTGTAAAATTTTGGGAAGTATGATATAATAGTGTTGGTTTCTATATATTTAATTGAAATGCATATGATAGTGTACCTTGTTAATCACACCCATGTATATTTACTTTCATTTTATTAAAATCATTTTGATTTAAAAGCTGTTGCATAGTTGTAATACCTAAAGTGCAGTATCATGTTTAGAAAATGCAAACTAGTGACATAAATGTGCACTTTACAAAAGTGCATATTAATGTGATAAATTGATATATCTCTTCACATTTGTTTTATTGATGAATGGCGTTGCTTATTGAAATTACTATTTTTGAAAATCCAACTATTTAATAAAATTGATGTTACATAAAGTTATGAATAAAAATTCGGCTATACTACAGTTTTGTGTACACCAAAATAGTGTATACAACAAGAATGACTCCACACATATATACATGTGTGTATAGGAAAATATTCATATATGGTAGATCTAAACATTCAATTTTTAGACCTCTTCCATTTGACGTGCTTCCAGATCGATTTTTTATAAAAGTTTATGAGCATCTTCTCCGTGAAGTGTAGACTATGTCCACAAATTTCAAGTTAAAATTTAATCAAGAAGTCTGTTAAATAAATTATTCATAAAACTACATTATTTATTTATTATTATATTACTTAATACGGAGTATTTGTTATTAATAAAATATATTTTAAATACTTCTTATAATTTTGGAAAAATGGTCAAATAAGCTCTTCTAGAATTGTAGATCGGTCATCTAAACCCACGTACTAAAAAAAGCATCCTATGAACCCGTTTACTTTTAAAAATGATCGATCAATCAATTTTACGTGAAGGTGACCATTCTTAGGGCTTGTTTGCAAACTATTATTTTAAGTGCTTTTAGCTTTTTTTTTTAAGAAAAAAGCACTTATTTTATCAAACAATACCAACTTTTACTTTCTCGGTTTTCGTGTAGAATCTACTTATTACTTTTTCTATTACACAAAAAGCATTTATTTTACCAAACACTACCAACTTTTACTACTAATCACTTTTTCCCAAAAAGTACTTTTATTTAAGCACAAGTGGTTGCAAACAGAGCCTTAGTCGGTCATCTACAATTTTACGCCGTGCTTTTTTTTTTCTTTTTTCTTTTTTTGAATATTTATTTATATTTCTCTTTCTTTCCTATCTTATGTTAGTCCCGAGACTCCGGACCTCCTTCCCTTCGTCTTTACTCTTTCCATACTCATCTTTCATTATGTTTTTTGCTACACCATATCAAATGCTCTGGCCACCATTTCCTATTGCTTTGCTACTGTCAATGGACACAGGACACCACCTCCCTGAATCAGTTTGCCGTCCACAAACCTTATCGTGATTTCTCTCCGGTCGCACATATGAGGAGCTACAAAAGCCAGCATAAGGAGCTACAAACCTTGAAGATTACCCTGTTTCCTACAATGTTTTTTTTCGCCGTACTTCAGCCAATACACTCAAGATGTTTTCTTTTGGATTGTTTTCAATCTCAGTCTCCCAGACCAGACCAGACCAGACTTAAACAGATCAGACCAGACCAGACTTAAACAGATCAGACCAGACTTAAACAGACCAGACCAGACTTAAACAGACCAGACCAGACTTAAACAGACCAGACCAGACTTCCGTAGTTATAAAATACACAGAAACCAGACTAGACTTAAACAGACCAGACTTAAACAGAACAGACCAGACCAGCAAATTTCAGTCCAAAAGAAAACATCCCCATCCCATCATAGTTTCAGCAACTTCAGTATATTAATCATATCCAGCCAATTTGAATGTTACCCATCTCAGGCTATCTGGCTCTAAATTACTCAATAACACCTTACGCAAAGAACGAGACCGGTAAATATAGAATAACAAATATTGATGTCTTCTAAAAACCTTGGTCAAGTTTATATACTAACATAGTATTAATGTATCTATCATTCAAGACGCACTTTCTTGCTTGGCACATTATATTTGATGAAAAATGACAGCTAAAAAGGGTTAAACCTGGTCTGAACTCTGAGCCCATTAAATGGAACCGAGCTGCTTATAGTCTGTCTCTAATGCACATACCATTCATAAACCATAGAGTTCCTGAACATGCTGAGTAATTGCTTCCGGGCATGACTGAGCCCGTAGAAGCTCCAACCGAGTCGAGTGTGCAGTAAACTGCAAGATGTAATCTTCATTTTCCTTCACTGTCCCATAAAGCCAGCATAAGACCTCATCTGCGAAAGCAAGGCATACTCCGCCCTGCCAATAACCTTTGAGTTTTACCCTTTGTGTGATTTCATTGGTTCTCATTCTTTCAGTTCGGACAAGAAAACCATTGTCATCCCTAAATCCAACAACAATGTATTCCACACCAGCAATGAACGACTGGATCCAGAACTTGAGCAGTTTCTCCCTCTCAAATCTTTCCTCAGTACGATGGTCAAACAACTCCCGGCTTGTTTTCAGTTCAATATAGAATCTCTTTTCATCATTATCCCTTGAATCACAGCAATCTATTTCAGCCCCCAGCAAAACACGGTGCGCTCCTATTTTGGTTTTAAGTACAGAACAGAATTCGACATTTGCATCGATGTCACGAATCTGTTCTCTACCACGATCTTCAGTGGCCAGGCTTTCAAAACAATAGCCCCAGTAACACCTTCTTCTATCCAGATCACTTTTTGGCCTTTCCGGTAATTTGTGCACATCCAGGTAAACAACACCTTTCCTTTTGTGAACTCCCATTTCCCAAGGCTCATTCCTGATATAGGCAGTAGCCATGATCTTATTCAAGTTGTTGCGGAATGTCACAAAGTGCATCCTTTCAAGTGAAATTTCCTCCTTCCTGTGCCTAATGCAGGCAAGAAGGTCACCAAAACCCTGAGATCCCAGATCTCTCTTCTCAATGAAAGTATCAAAGCCTTCATTCAGGTCAGCCCCGATATCTTCTGTAATAAGACGTTTAAATAGCCTCAAGCTACTATCATCAAAGTAGACATCTCCCCCTTCCACTCGACTATAGCAAGCAAGTTCACAAGGCTGTTGGATTGCAGTGGACTTTCTTGCCAGTGTTTCTTCACTCTTTGCAAACTTGAGCTCAGAAACAAAACGCTCATCCCTAGGAACATTCGGGAACCTGGAACCATAATTGGAACCCTGTCTTGGTGGATAATTGGGTGTAGCAAGAATGCCATTCCCTCTACCATTCTGCCAACGTCCACGCCCAATACCTCCTCTTGATGGGTTGCTTATATTACGCACTGGGGGCAAAACAGGAACTGGGTAGGGACTAGTAGCAGTTGTTTTCACATAATCCTCATTATCTGAGCCAAACAGATCCTTATCCTCATCCTCAATCTCATTATTAGAAGATCTGACTTCCTCATGATCGTCTTCTTCTCTGCCGCTGTCGCTTCCACTCCCACTAACGCTGCTGCTTCTATTGGAAGACGAAGGTGAAGAAGAACCACCCGAAGAGGCGGATGAGGAGGACGATGAAGAAGACGATTGTGAGGCTGATGACTGGCGCTGCTGTGGAGGGTGGTGTTGCTCGTCGTTCGAATAGTTGTCTCCGTCGTCGTCTTCCCCAAACAGCTCAACCGCAAAGTTGGTATTCATGATCTGCTCCTCTCCCGTTATCTCTATATGCTCGCAGATCGAATGTCACCTGATCTGTTAGATCTTTAGGGACAAAAGCATTTACGACTTTAAAGTCATCGAGGGTGGCAACGGCGGTAGTGCGGCTGCAAGTAGGGATGGGAACGGTTGGAGTGAAATTCCTAAACTGCATTATATATAGAGATTTTATACGAAAATAATTTAAATATACCTAAAAAGATGCAAAAAAAATTATAGAGCCTGTATGACTCATTGACTCCCTTGGATCATTTGGAGTGGTGCAAGAGGCTAAATGTCAAAAATGGATTCCGTCCATATGAAAATAGTGTTTTGACTTTTATTTCTCTGCATTCCAGCACCGTCAATAAAATACATTATACACATTTTTTTACATATCAATTTTAAAACATTAATTAAATTATTATAAGTGATATTTTTCATTTAATTTTTTCTCTACTGAATTATAAAATAAAAAAGACACATTTCGATGTAAAAAAAAAATCGTTAATTTTTTTTTGTTTGCATTTTGAAATAAATGTAAAAATAACATTTTAAAAAGACACATGCAATAAATTAAAATAACAAAACATGGCAAGTAGTGCTCGCTAACCTCATGCTGACGTCAATATGCAGGTACACCCACTTCCCCTTTTTCTTTTCTTTTCCATTTAATTTTTGGCTGTCAAGACATCCTCCAAATTTAACTCCTTCCCTCTTCAAACCCATTTTTAATACCTTCTTCTATCAACCAATGTATGAGATTAGGAGTCCAAAAATGACATTTTTAACATTTTGGACTCCTAATACCTCACCACTCCATTTGGTCTTATGAAGTTTGGGGTTCCAAAAACTTATTCTAAAAAGGCGTGAGATTAGAATGTTTTTAACTAAAATTTGTTGGTAGGGTCTGATCTAATTTGTTTAGGTTTGATCTGGTGTAGTCTAAATTTGTCTGATTTGATTTGGTCTAGTAAATGTATGATTTCTGTGTATTTTATTATTATGAAAGTCTTGTCTGGTCTGTGTAAGTCTGATTTGGTCTGAACTATTTTTCTATTTTTCGGTGTATCAGACTATTGAATTTGGATTGGGTGATGAGAGGTCTGTTTTAACCGTCTTTCAATTATGCCCATTATAGGATGAGCGAATCACATTGCTTTATGGAAGGTGATTAATTCTAAGTCTGGTTCGAGAGCCGACGGTTGGAAGTTTACTTTTTATCTCTATTCCCTGTCTGAATGTTAAATACAAAATTCATAGATGGATAGTGGAGATATCTCTTCACAATGAATAATTAATATTACTATGAAAAACTATATACAAACACTTCTAACATAAAATATGTGTTTGGTTATTCAAAAATGTTTTATAATATGATTTGTTCTATATTGATTATTTATTACTTTCGAAAAATAGTTTTCATTTGCAATCAATTGTATGTTACATTGTTGCTTTTCTGTATTTTCCTCGTCACCTGAGTTGAAAATTCTTATATGTGACAAGGATTATAAATGTACCAATGAAACAAAAAATTATTATGCATAAGTATTTTAGAATTTGTAAAAAAAAATTATTTTGTGTTATAAGACATTGTTTATTGAATTGAATTCAATTTAGACATTTATTAGTCACAGTAATTATGAATACTTTGAGAAATATGTCAAAAGACTGTAATCATATCCCAATATCCCATGCATTGCACATGTTCTATATTAGTTCAACTTAAACATTAACTCAAACTTTACTAATTTTGATTATTGCAAAATAATAATTGAGAATTTACCCTGAATAGGACTAAAAACGTTTGTAATTCCAAAATGGGACTGCCATGTTTTTAATTCCCAAAATGGGACTAATTACTGTCATGTTTTGGCAGTATCAGACTTTAAACATGACAGTATTTTCCAAACTTGACAGTAATTACTCCTATTTTGGGAATAAAAACATGACAGTCCTATTTTGGAATTTACAAACGTTTTTTGTCCCATTTTAGGAACTTTCCCATAAAAATTATGTGCTTGATAAAAAAGTTGATTAATAAAACTAATAAGCATAAATAGTTGTTATCAAATGGGCTTTAAGTGTAAAACCATATCATTCTTATAGTCCATTTCTTTCATTTCAATCACCTTTCAATTTCACCACCCTCTTGTGTTATCTTTCATCTTAACACCTTCATCATCAACTTCTAAGATTGGAAAATGAATTAGGGTTGGAGCCTTTGAAAATAAAATTGAAAATGTAACCAGAATTATTGCATTTGCTGCCAATTCAATATTTTCTGTGTTCTAACTTTTTTAAAAATCTGTCCGAATGAAGAAATTAAACTGAAAATGTAGTTTGTTTCGGTGAAGTTAAGTCGCCAACAAAATGTGCCTATTGAAAGAAAAAATATATTTTAGTAACAAGAAATGCCCGGGCACATACAAACAAGATTTTCCATGCTACATCACTGTAAACAGGATTTTCCTTGCTACATTTTCCAATAACTTTATAGCTCTAAAAGAAGGCCCTCCAAAGTGCTTATATATTCAAAGGATTGCACGCTATTTCATCAAGCACAACTTACCTACACCTCAAACTTGTACAGAAAGAACACAAACATGCAATGACTATGAGTTGTAGTAAAGCCTGCGGGAGGGAAGAATGGCCAAAGATTCATATTACGACCAATTCCTATAGATATAATATCCAAGTTAATTAATTACACAGAGAAGCAGTTGCCCAATGGAGTGACATGATATTATACAGCATAATTAATTCTATCTTGAGATATTTGAGGTATTATACCTGGCCTGTACGACTGTACGTAAACTAAAGATACAGCATAATGTCATCCAACTAACTCAAATCTCTGGCTTTTTGTAATTGCTCATCTTTAACTTCTACTGGATATTTATGGTCCCATTAGTATTCTTCCAAGGGTTTGTGGAGGACATTGGTTGGATGATTGCAAAGGTAGCCGAGTCTCATAGCCAGATGCCAGAACATGATTTTCTCTGGACTCGTATCGGTTCAGTCCACCATTTGCCATGCTTATCATTCCAGAAGCTAGAACTTGACTTTGAACAGTTCTGTTCTCAATACCATAGCCAATACCAACCCCAAGATCAAGGCTAATCACATTATTCACTTCTGGTCTAACTCTGGATAATACACTTTTATGTGCTGTGCCAGCTATTTCATGACTGTTGGGCCTGGCTATGGGTAAGTCATGATTATGCTTTCCCTCATATGTGGTTATAACAGCTTTGGGATCATGTGAAGCCCTTTCAACATGTTTCCTGACTGTGCATTCAGCATTGGTGCACTTATAATAGCTCCTGCATTACGTAAGAGAACTTGGAAAATGGATCAGATGATTCAGATCCCTCAGATGACATAGGTATGGACTACAAATTTACAAGTTACTAAAATTTTGTATGCAATCTAAAATTCAAGTATTAAACAGTGAAGAGGAATGGGACATGATTTGGGGGACATGCACCCAAATCATTCATACAGCTCAGAACCTTATATTAAGTACTCCTCGTCTACACCAACAATTTAAGTATTTCTAATATAAACATATCTAGGATTTTATGAATCAGCACATCCCCTATAAACGATAATTGCAAAAAATGTCTCACATGCCTATCCTGAAGAAACAAGATGAACACTCAGTGATTCATCTTTATCATTGTCCTCAAATGCCCCAAGCAATGATATAATAGCAAATGTACTATATGTCCATATGAGTATATTTTCTCTTCCTGACAGTATCATGATGATAAGATTTGATACAGTCTCTTTGTGCTTTAGTACAGGGGTAAGACTGCGTACATCTGACCCCCCCTTACCCCACCGTAGGTGGGAGCCTTTGCGGCACTGGGGTAATGATAATGAAATGACAGTATCATGATGATAAGATTTGAGAACGTAAATTGACAATGTCAAAAGTTGATGAAAAGCCTTCCATGTTTCCCGGAGATAAAAAAATCCAGAGATAACACTATGACACTACCAAAGGGAGCAGCAATCTAACAAGTTGAGGAACATAAACATCAAAAGAGATTGCCTTACCTCGGATTTGGATTACCCCTCACAACTTTTTGTCCATATTTACGCCAGCGATAGCCATCATCCAATACATCAACCTCACTCACAGTTTGAACAACAACACGAGGTTCACGGATAGGCTTGACCAAAGGTGTGATATCAGTACCGCCATCCATCTTCCTAATTTTGATTTTCAGGTAATTCATTATAGTATATGGAAATTAAACTGGAATATTTATAACAAGCTTACCTTCTTTTGGAATATGGGTCATCCTCATCCATGTCATCATTAGCACCCAGCAGTAGTAGAGTTGCACCTTCATTGCCGCCATCACCTACTTTTTGAGGTGAAACAACAGGGGTCCCACCATGCTGCATATTACCTGTCTGGCCATTTGATTGGAACTTGTCTTCAATATACACAAGAGTAGAAGTTTATCAACGAGTATCATAATTATCACAGTTTATGAAAAAAAATAGTTGAGGCTATATTACCTTCTGGACCATTGGAGGAATAATCTTTCTCGAAATGATCTTCTTGGATGGACATAAGACCACCAAGAGTAAATCTACGACTAGGTTGGGGTTTGGGATGATCATGTGAGCCTTTGTATATAATCTCTTTTATTTTTCCATCAGGAGAGCGTTCAAATATCTTTTTCACTTCACAGTTTGGATATGTACACTTGTAATAGCTCCGTGGGAATTCACTTCCTTTCACAAGTTTCTGGCCATACTTACGCCAGTTATACTCATCTTCTGATGATCTTTCAGCTGTGACAAAATGTTGATCAGAATTTGCTGCTTTCTCTCCCTGATTAAGGTCACTCGACTCTATTGCATCAGTACCATCAGACAAAGTATGCAGGGTGACAGCTGAATTGAATTCATGTGATGTAGGAATGGAAGATTCAACCAAAGACAACGGTGCCGAAGGCTGAGAAAACAAATGATCTTGAAGTTGTCTTTGAGATTCACTTCGCTGCTGGTTCAAGCCTGCAGATTTCTGTAGTAAAACGATGACTGTTATGTTGGTATTAACACGCATATTCAGTTAGAACAAAGTGTTCTTTCTTTATCTAGTAAAGATAATCTTATCATTGTACTCAATTAACCTTGAGTAACCATATT